GTCAAGAACTTCTCGAGCGTGTATGGAGCCCATGGCCTCAGGATAAGTTTGATCACTTCATCCCCGTCTTCGCCTTGAACAGTAAAGGCCTCGAGTAACTTGACAATATTGGGATGGTTGCAAACTTCAAGCACTCCAATCTCTCGATGAATCTTAGTTTTATCGTTCGAGAAGAATGTCTTCATTGCAAGTGGCTCTGATGTTCGCTTGTGGACTACCTTGGAAACGGCCCCGAAGCTACCCCTCGCCACTTGCATGAACACATCCACCTTATAAGGCACCTCGTTCGTGTCACTGTACTTGTGGATATATCGCGGTTCCATTGCGTTTAAGAATCGAGTCAAGCATGTCTCAATATGAGGGCTGTGTCCTTGTGAGTATTAATCCAGGAAAAGGTATGCGACTTTTGTTTGGTTGTAGCTCTGACAGAAAGCTGATAACATACCTGTTCTCCTCAAAAGACCGGATCGCTTCTGCCTTGGTAACGCTCGTGGCTTCTTTCATGGGGAACCTTCCAAGAAGTTCGGTGAACGATACTGCTACATTCTCAAGTTCTTGTTCTCTTGGCCATGAGTGCAGCGTTTCAGCGCTATCCCTATGGCACAAGATGTACTCGGATGCGAACAGAGCATTTAAAGCATCCAATTGGCCCGAAGCTTTGTGGCGACGATAAAAGTCCATGAGCTCCATCAAGTTCGTTATGCGTATCTTGGTCCTGTTCAGGTCATCTCCAAGAGAAAGAGGAGGGTCGTTGGCGGCACTTGGGCCGATACTGGAAAGAAGAGCATCAAGATCTGCTTCTAGGTCGTTGGTTTCCTCGTCTATCAGATCAGCCACTGCAGACCCTGTATTGACTTGAAGTTTGTTCCAAGACTTGATCCGATGAGTAATCTGCTTTGACGCGTTGACGTATTCTGACGGTTCATGGCTGCCATCGAAGGAAGTGGTTGGCAGGCACAACATGGCGCGGCGTATCTCTACCTCAGGTATGTAATTTAAGACGTGATGAGGCCTCGAGGCAAACAGATGCAGGTTCTCCTATCTCTTTGGTTCGCGCACCACGCGTCTTAATATATCATCCCCCCTGCCTAGCCTGGCCTGGCCTGGCCTTGCCCCTCCTCCCAACAGCTGTTGAGTGGCCTACCAAAACAGGGCCAACGGCATATGCATCACTTTTTGTGGCGTTCTATTCCTGGGTCGGGAGACTGAGACAAAAAGAAAATTCTGGTAGGCCAAGGCGATGTGCAATTGGTCTTTGCATCAAATGCAATCTTTAATGACCTTAATGAGGAGCTCTTATCAGAGAAGACATAGGTCTATACTATACAATATATTAGAGATAGCTCAACCAAGTTCAACACAAAATAATCAATAACCAATAGACCGAGCTCTGTAACTTTTTCCCCCACTTGCCGTGGGAACTCTTCAGTTGTGAGATCCTCAGTACACAATGTTCTTTTCGTTGTCGTTAGTGTAATAAATCTATAGTGTTAATGAACTGAGAAACATTCTAGGCCTATTATTATAAGTAGCACAGTATCATAAACACTTCAGATTGTAGTCAGTGGAGTGAGCTGTAATTAAGTGCAATACTAATTCTATATACAGTAAGCAAGAAAACAAGATCCCTATACTAATATCCAGATGCAGCGAGCCTGGCCTTCTCATCATCTGCAACCTTCTCCTCGTCATCACCCTTCTTCACAACCTCATATTCAGGAAGTTCTTCTTTCACATCACGAGATGTATCCCTACCCTGCTGCTCACGATCCTGCTGGACCTGAGGCTCATCCGTATATCTTTCCTCCTTTGAGTTCGATTCAGGTTCATCAGTATATCTCTCTTGCTTTTGAGACAAGATACTGTCCCCAGGGGTAGGTGCTTGACCAACTGCTTGCACAACAGTTCGGTCATAGTCAGTCCGGCCCTCAAGAGCCTGAAGGACCTCAAACAGAGGTTTACCCGCCATGGGCCAAGCAACCTCGCCACGCAGAATCTTCTCTGCAGTGATTCCGCGCTCGTTGTAGAAAGTGGCATTAGCATCGCCCCGAGTCACAACGATAGTGCCATCAATTTGAACACCAATCCACAGCCCGCGGCTCTTCATGTAACTCCACACAGGTTGAGCAGTCTTGCTAAGAGCAGCCTCAACACTACCGCCTGTTCCAACGGGTCCCAAAGCAACCGAGCCCTCAGCGCCGAATGACAAGCGAGGCTTTGTGAATGCGGCGACTTGCTCTGGGGTGTTGAGGACACAGACGCAGTCATAGACGCCAAGACCAAAGACGAAGCCAGCGCCGAGACTGCTTACAATGAAGGAAGAAGGTGGGGACCAAGTACCGTCTGAGCGACGAGCGATGACTATACCGGAGCCACCGGAAAGGGAGTTATGACAGGCGCCGGCACGGATGACGTTGAAGATGGCAAGACCGGCGGCGCTTTGGAGGACGGAAGGGGGGATTTTGACCATTGATTTGCGTGTGAGACCCGTTGGGTGGAGAGGACCCTTCTCTGTGGGCTTCGTAGAGGAGTTGAGGTCTAAGGGCGTAAGTACAATTCTTTCAGGAGATTTGGTATTGGACTTACTGGTGAAAGAGTGAAGGATACGAGCAGCCTTGTTACATTCCTTATCCATGGTAGAAGGCCACCATCCCTCAGCACCAAACAAATTGGCCACTTTGTTCAATGGTGAACCGGCCTTGGAACTGATTTTGTGAAATCGCTCGCCGGCGGTTGGTTTGGCTGTAGGGGGAACATCTCGATCTTGGGGTTGAGTTTGGGGGTACTCTGTGTTATCGGGCTGAATGGTGTAAGACGGAGGTTGACCAGCTTGCTTAAGAGGGTCGATATTCTCGATGGACTTATTGGATGTGGAGTAAAGAGTCATTGTGAAGATAATCAGAAAATATAATTTGGAGTAAATGAAAAGTACTGTTATAAAGAATTGGAGATGTTCTTGATTGTGTTGTTCTGATGGATACTTTGCCAGGCACCTTTCATCCTTATATGTTCTTCCTCGCTATATTATCCCAATTTCGTCCATTTCACATTCTCTTAAGCATACGCAATCTCATCCCACCAAATAATTTATTGCTGCTGCCTCTAGGCGCAGTAAACGTGGCCGCCTAGCGATGATGGATGTGTAGTGCGTGGACTGAGGCGCAGCATCGCCACACGAGAAGCGAGACATGAGCGAACGACGACGATGCGAAAACAGAACATGAAATTAAGAATACCTAAAGTAATTTCTTTTCGTTAATTGACCATTGATGCATATATAAGCTTAACGACCTGTTTATCGCTTTTTCCTTTTTCTTTTTTTTAATATTATTATAAGCATGCACGTATAATATCCAATGTTATTTGAGTAGTTAATAAACTGAAAGATATTCTGAGCTATTGTGGGACAAAAGGATAAGGGTCAGCCTGTTGGGCTGGTATGTCTACATAAACGATTCCGTCGAATGGTACTTTATAAGATTCAGTACACCAACAGCGTCGCCGCCGCAAAAATAAATACATGTCGGTGGAGAGGCTCGAACTCTCGACCTTTGGATGACTCTGACTTCTCGTCAGATCAATCTGATTTCAGATATGAGACCAACGCTCTAACCAACTGAGCCACACCGACAGTGTTTGCTGCCTGAGGTTGATCGTAATAATATTAAAGAAGCCTAGTGTACCTAGTTTAGACAAATGCTAGACAACTTCCAAACGCTGGTCCTGAGCCAAGACGACATCACTTAAATTGTTAGTATCAATATTAAGAAGTATAACTTAAGCAAAGTGTGGCCAAGACGAAAGCTCATAGATTCAGACACTATCTAGCAAGTGCTCTGTAGTCTGCCATTCCTCCCTGAAAGCTTTCGATAGCATCTCAATCAGAGTAAATAACAAAGCAAGACAATCCTCTCTTCCCAATATTCCCGTGCCGACCTCACTGACCATAGAATCTAACCATCTCCACCATCTTTCTCAACTCCTTCACCAGCAGTTGAATCTCGCATCTCGAGATACTGAAACATGTTCGGCGGTTCATCCATATTTTGAACAGGGTAGTCCCTGATGCGGATATACACCAGGTCACGAAGATCCTCGCGATTCTGAATGTCTTCTGTGAAAGTGCAATATCGCCCAAAAGCTGCTGAAAATGGGCACTGGAGTAGGTCCTGGCCATTGATAGTATCAACCACAACCCGCTCCTTACATCGTGGAGATAGACTAGAGTCCGGTGCCGACTTGATGAGCACAATGTTAGCTTCTATTCTTGGCAAAATCTGATAGAACTTACCTTGCAAAGATCACATTTGATGAAGCGGTCTTCGGAGGCACTTGGTGGCAGAAAAAGTCTTGGACCTGGTATATGGCCAATGTGGACGTCTAGACCATGCTTCTCCTCAATTAGGTCGGAAGTTTCATCCAATGTAAGGAGTTTAGGGCTAGGTTTGTCAGTTATCTGACAAGTCCCAATGACCAGTTGCTGATTGAAAAAGTCATACTCCATAGTTCGGGTCCTATTGAGGTAGGGGACATAGATGTGTTTAGTTAGAGAGTTCTCCGGCTGCCACCGCCAATTCAACAGGGCCGCCATGATCTTGATCATATGAATCCAGGTAGTGTCTATTTTCTCAATACTTTTACCAAGGTCATCTGGGATCACCGATCCGTACGTTGTTGAGAACATAGTCATGCGGTTCTGCCTCAAATACATCATGTACCACTTACCATTGTCTTCGTACTCAATTTTTATCCCGACACGAAAAGCTTCAGTCCAGCAATCCAAGGGTCCAACTATGGGCACTGATAAGTATGAATGTGTATGCCTGGTATTTGGGTCTTTAGTGATCTCGACAACAATGTTGACGGTAGATCCAGGTCCAAGGGGGGTTCCTTCCACTGGAACCGTATGGCGGAACCTGACGGGTTGCGTGGTGCGTCTGTTACCATAGAAGACTGCAATTCCATTGATGCTAGTCAGTCGTTTGGGCAGGGTCCGGAAACTCCACATGGCTGGCTCAGTATCCGTTGCCGGCGTAGTGGTTCGAATCCAGAGACTTGCCTCATATCTATGGCCCTCGGCCAACGGTACACACCAGTTGAGTCCGGTAAAGGTATCCTGCAGCTTGAACTTCTGTAGTGAAGGTGTTGCATTTTTCATCTGGGACCCAATGTCCAGTATCATCAGGGCCAGAGGCCTGGTATAAGTTCGAAGGTATCCATCCTGCTGGGCTGATCTACCCCAATCCGGAATTTCATCAACTTTTTCATTAGAAGGCAAGTGGCGTCTACATCCTAGCATGACAGGATTGAAAGACTCGAATAGTACCATGAGAATAGTCTCAACCCACCCGTCAAAAATATTAGCATTGTGAACATCAGGAGTGAATAACAATGGGAAAAGACGATAGGTGGCGCCGTCCTTCAATAACTCGCGGGCCATTCGGTAGTGCAGCAATGTCAGCTTTTCGGTCCGCAAGGCACCAGAGTGCTGGGTATAGCGGGCATCGAGATCTTTGGTTCTTCCCAGGTAGACCCCACAATCATTTGTCTTCTCATTGAAGTACATAAGGAGGTAAAAGTAAGTGCCTGCTCTATCGACCTTGAAACTTGACGTCTCGCTGACCGGCTTGCATTTGTTCCAAATGTCCTTGAATCTAGGCATGCCATCTTGGAAGACCTTCAGGGTATCACAAACCCTCATACCTGTGTAGTATGGTTAGCGTATTTGATGTTATCTCGATATAAACTTACCGTCTAGGAAGTTTTTCACAAGCAAATCGCCCTTTTTCTCGGCTTGCTCGACGACAATTCCAGGCACTCCGTAGATCTTCAATAGACTCCGACTTTCTACGGTCAACATTGAGGCCAAGAACCCTTCAATGAATTTGCGAAGGGGGCTTGACGTATCGAGTTGTCAGCTAATTGCCTGTTAGTTGATAGTCGGGTTTGCAGCATCAGCGTCGCTGACCACTTTCAAGTCTGATGTGATGACGGCTCCAATCTCGATCCGAGATAAGGGGATCCGGCACTTTCCTCCGCCCAATAAAGTTCCGGATATTGGTTGAGGACCATCAATCGTGTGACGAAGGAGCCTCACAAGAGGATATTGAACGAGATTTCCCTTGTCGTCAAAATTGAGGGCGATATTTGGGATTGATCCAAAGTCGCCAACTTCAGCTGCAACAAAGCCACGCAACCAAGTGTTCTGTTCGAAAGTCGTAGCATCTTCTGCGGTAATCGCACTGGTCACTCTAAATGCTTTGTAAACAATCTGCGGTTGTTGCCCCTGGGAAGGCGACCCTTGGGGCTGAGCTTGAGAGCCAGACCGTGACCGAGAGGGCAATACCACAGAGGCGGGAGAGGAACCAGGGGGTCTTTGAGTGGGAGTGCCCAGGCCAGTAGCAGGTGACCCACTGGTGCTTGCTGGAATGGGAGCACCGCCTCTACCCAGAGATGGAGACCCTGGGAGACCTCGAGCTGGGGTGCTTGGGCCAGCTGACGGGTGTGAGCCTTGGGATCCAAGAGTCGATGCCCGCTCACGAGCGGGATGGGTGTAGCCAGACAGAGGAGAGCTAGCCAGCAGTCCGGAAGAGCTGCTCTTTAGCCCAGAAGGTTAGCCCGACGAAGTTCGTCTTTGATCCGATGGACTTGCCGGAATTGGCTGTCCAGTAGAGCCAACAGTAGGTGCTCGGGGACGGGCAGGCTGAAAGTAACCTGGCAATGGAGAGCCAGTAAGTGGCCCGGAAGAACTGCTCTTTAGTCCAGCTGGACGACCTGAAGAAGCTTGTCCTTGGTCTGATGGACTTCCTCTGGCCGGAGATGGCTGGCCTGAAGGACCGACGAGCGGTGCTCGGGAACGACCTCCAAAGCTACTTGAGTTAGAAGGGGAGCCGGATTGGAAACCAGTGGGATCTTCTCTTCTTGTGCCAGGTGGTCGAGAATACGTCAAGTTTTTGTGAAAGGGTAGGCTTCCTGTGTTCATAGAAGCTGACGAAGACCCACTCCCTATCTGTGTTGATGGTGAAGGGGCCGGTCCAGATCTGTCTCCAGACGATGATCCGAAATACTCTTGGATGTTGCGATTCCCTCTACCCATAGGGGGAGGTCCAGGAGTATGTACTGGTTGACTACCTGTGCCCATAGGAGGGGGCCCTGAAGTTGGTACAAAGTAGTTACGGATATTGTAGCTACCTCTTCCTGGGGAAGGAATAGGAGGGTGACCAGGTCTCTGGGGATCTGTCTGCTGTGAGGGCCGTGCTGATGGGTCTTCCCTACGACCGGACGATCCTCTGCCCGAGCCAGACGATTCCGGGGGGCCAGAAGGCCGGCCTGGAGAAGCCATGACGACAGTAAAGAGGGACAGATAGGTATGGTACAGCTGAAAACGACAAGTTCAAGTCTCGTATAATCTTACTTAATAGTATTGTAGAAGACAGTGCAAAAAAGGATGTATGAGATTGAGAAGTTGCAGAAAGTTAAGGGGACTGGCGGTTTATATAGTCACAGGACAAGGCAGTAGAGCTACAATTCTTATATCTGTAAGTAATGTAGTCATAAATCATAGCCAAATAACACCAAACGTAGTGCAGAATCGTTTTAGAACCAAGCAGAAGAGATTTCACATGGAATTAAGCAGTCAAACATTAGAATGTTGCAATCACAGCTGAGGATTTTCTACAGTTTGAACCACAATAATTATTAATAAATATAGTTAAACCCTATTGTTTGTGTTTTCAACTCACTGGTTGTTACTTGTAAGTTGCTGCTTGGCCATTTAGGCGAGATTGTAAATGATAACAAATACATCAAACTACTTGGCCAACAGCAAACACCCCGCAATATTGCTGACAAAAAGGGGCACTGCATCTTCAAACAAAATGACTTAAAATCAAGTTTAACTAAACGTCCAACGCTATACCATAAACAAATATACTGAGTATAAGCAGGCGACTTGTTGTGAAATGTTGGCAAAGTGACTATACTGCGCAAATCGAAGAAGTTTCCCCTGGAACGTTTGCCAACACCACCAGTAGATCACGATAGGTATGTTTACGATGAAATGACAGATTAATAATTGACAACTTCAGTAAGACAAAATTATGGTCTTGTGAGTGCAACTCATGCTTGCTGGTTTTATGATAGCTTGTATGTTCCCTTTTTGGCAAGACAAACACTCGGCAATTGCGAGAACAAATGTTATGTTCTTACAAGAAACTTGATGAACCGTCATGATTAGACGTTTATAAAGCCTTCAGGTGTTGCTGTCATGGTAAATAGAATGGATGGGAATCAAGCTGGTGACTTCCAACATTTTACTCGTGCATTACGATAAATAGGGGCAGCTAAGTGATAAACGCAAGGAGACACCAGCGTAGAAAGACTGATAGGGATGAACAAGGATATTTCTTGGAAAGAGAATCGCTACGATAAGGACGTTAATCGTTCAGCAATTAGGCATTGTATGAGCGAGATTAGTTCGTCATGATCACCAGGCTATATCCCGTAACTGAGATATAGGAAGGGCAAATTTTATTCCTAAGTTAAATATAAATTTAGTTCTATGGTTCTATTGAAAGATATTATGTGCATGCCAGAAATTGAGCTATCTTATATATCTCCATAGAACGGAAA